GTCCACATTTTATTAAAAGCTAGCATGTGTAGATGTGCCCGAGCTAGCTTTGATTTAGCTAGCTCAGCTAACTATGGCAATGCAGTAGCACAGCATATTTGGCAGCATAGACTGTACAAGGTTGCCCAGGAAACTATGTATTTGAAAGCTAGCTCACACGTCTTCCATGCTGCCATGGCATCTAAGCTGCTGCTATTCAGCTAGCTATATCAAAGGAGGAAAGGTCAAGTCCAGGTGTTCTATACCCGGCCGTGGTACAATATGTACTCACCTAGCCTGCTGGCAGACATTGCAGAGCCATGCCTTGTCTTTCTTCTGATAGGAGCTGCAGTTCTTGCAGATGTTGTATTTGCAGTCTTGGCACTGCCGCTTGCTATTGATGAGAAAAGTGAAAGGAGAACAACAGCGAATGCAACAGTGCTCATTAAACTTCTGATGCTTAGAAAGGATGCTGCACTTGTTCCCCTCTTCATCGAGTTTCTGCTTCATTTCACTGCAACCGAAAAGAAGACACAAAAAGACAAAATCAAAATAACATTCCATTTGGTGTTCTCTCCGTACATCATTCAGCCCCTTCCAACAACCGCATCAAGCCCCCATGAAAACTTGCTATGGGAAAAATACATGACAGAAATGGCCACAGAACAGAGGATCAAGATCTTCTGCATTCTAATCATGCCTCAGACTGTGCACAGGGGCAAATCATCAACTCTCTGGACCATGTTCTAGAACAAACTGAATGGTTTTACAGTTAAACTAATATAACTGAGAGGAGAATGTGACCATCTTCTTCAGTTTCTTCACTGGTAAAAGTGGGTTAACAATCAATAAGGTTTCCAGTCACTGCAATTTTTAAAATGCTTTGAAGATGAAAACCACTGTACAAAGATGGAAGAGCTGGTTGGACACTATTTAAAAAAACCCAGGTTGTTTGATCTGATTCATGGGGTTATATTATTCAAAAGAGCCCCAATTCAGCCAATCACTTTAATTACCGTATTTTCCGGCGTATAAGACGTCATTTTATGCTAAAAAACATCCCCCAAAAATCGGGGGTCGTCTTATACGCCGGGTATACAGGCAGTCCCCGACTTGCAGCTACGAACGGGGCTTTTCTCGCCCCGGAGGACACAGACTGCGGCACCTCGTGGTCCCGCCGCCCATGTACTCCGGGGCGAGAAAAGCTGCTCCGCGTCTCCCTGGTCAGACCAGGAAGACGTGGAGCAAAGCCGCGGCGGGGCTCCGGCAGCAGGGCAGAGCAAAGCCTTTCAGGACTTTCAGGATTTGCAAATATTTTCTTTAATAACCAGCATTTGGTCTAATATTGAAGTTAAACATGTACCGTATTTTCCGGCGTATAAGGCGACTGGGCGTATAAGACGACCCCCTAATTTTCTAGTTAAAAGATAGGTTTTCGTCTTATACTCGCCGTATAAGACTACCCCCTTTAAGAGGCCAACCGGCAGCGCCCCAGCGCCCCTCCGCCTCCCCGGCTTTGCTCTGGGAAAAAGCACAGCCCAGACTGGAAGAGAGGAGTGCAGTCCTAGCCAGGGCTGGAGGCAGTGGAGTTGGTGGCAGGGAGCGCAGCCCCAACCAGGGTCGGGAGCGAAGCCCCGTGGCTGGGGCTGGCATCTTGGAGTGGGGGTGATGGCTGAGAGGGGAGCCTTGATCTCCCCTGGTTTGGAAAACTCCCTGCTTTGGGACCTCTTAGGTCCCAAGGATTCCAGACCCAGGGAGGTCCAACCTGTAATTGAAATGAGCAGTTTGTAAACAATGTATAGGGTGCAAAATTGTCATTGAAATGATTCAGCCAATACTTAAGATCAATGCAAACACTAAAAGAAAATCAGGATTGTTTCATGACCAATTTCCTAAATAAAAATAGCCTACATTTATATACTACAGAGATATAAAGAACAGCTTGGCCATTTCTAGTAACTGATAAGTTAGTATGACTAGGACTACCCAGGACAATGTCAAAAGTTCATATACAGAAGGACATGATGATTAACATACAGGAAAACACTCATGATTCAGTGACTAACATTTTTTGATTTCTAAAGTACTATAACATTGCTAAAAGAAAATATAAAAATATGTTTGTGCATTTGGAAATTGGTTTAAGATTCAGTATATAAATCACTGTAAACAAAGCTTGGACTGTTTCTAAAAATCCCAGAGTACTGTACAATTCATCTTTCTAGCTGCCATTTCCATCTCTCAAATTCATAACTCAAAGTAAAAACAGCCCATTTTGTGAATAACTTTAAAATTTGCTTATAAGGTTAACTCTAAAAGGCATGCAATTACTTCAGAGAAGTTATGGGTATATTTTCCAAACCTACAGATCTTGGTATTAAATTGAGTTCTGCATGCACTTGAGAGGTTTTGAATATTTAACACCATGGACCTAGTTAGCCTCTTGGGGTATTGATCCATCTTGGAGCAGCTGCAGAATACAGTATTGCTCAGTTATGCCACATAAGCAGATCAAGCATAAAAAGAATACCTATGCAGTGCCAAAGAAAAGACTTATTTTATTTAATATATTTGATTTCCAGGAGCAATTTATTTCTTCGAGTGTCCAGTAGAAATATTACAGTTCACATAGACATGGGAACATCACTTACAAGGACAAGTTAAGGGAATACAGTTTGTTTAGCCTGAATAAACAGGTCCAAATTATTTCTTGGGATAATTCCACAAACTCAATGGCTCATGCTAGGAATTAATTTGGTTCATTATATTTAAAGAGTGAACATGAAGACTGTATTTAAAAGGCGGGGAAAATAAAGGGAAGAAAACCATTTGCAGTAGTCAAGGGCTAGATTGTGGCTAGTTGTTACACTACCACTCAAAGGGAAGGGCAAAAGGAAGCCTACCTCTCCCCCTGCCCCCCTCCCCAGGCCAAAATTTTCTTTTCCAATTTGTTATTCATGTATAAGAATCTTTAATGCAAAGGAGACAAAGGTATCCAAAAGGTCAACTTTGAAATCTAACTCTGACACAAAAATTTGTTTTACAATTGTATATTTTAGGAAACAGAAATGTTCACTTACATCATCAGACTAAAATGTATTCAATCATTCGTCTGATTGAACCAAAAGGCACTGTTGTGACAATTTGTGTAAAAAAACATGTATTTAACTTCAATCACAGCTTTGGGTAGTGGGACTTTGCTGGCATGTCATCCTACACAAAAGCCAGTTTAGGAACATTATTTAGCATAATGATTTTGGTGTAATTCTCTCAATTGAATTTTGATTTATCGTCTCCTTCCTCTTTTCTTTTTCTATAATGTATAAAAAACATGCATTGTTGCTGCCATGCTTCAATTTGCTGCTAATGTCCTAAAGGAGTTTAGCCAGCTTTATAAGGAAAGAGGCCAGATTTGCAGCTTGACTACCTAATATTAAATTTTATGATCTATTACAGCAGTATCTTGGTGCTCTGAACAGGTCTACTGCAAATCAGATTATACGGATTATAGATACCTGTAATTTGGAAACAGAATACAGCTATACTATTATACTTCTGATGGAAGAGCTATAGCTAGCAGTAAGAATGAGACTGGGAGTCAGCACTCCTGGATTTTCTTCTCAGTTCTGCAATTTATTTGCTGGATTATTATGGACAAATCACTAAACTGTCCATGCTTCATTTTCTTCATCTGTAAAAGTGATACAACATCAGTTTATTTATAGGATCCTCCTCCAAATATTAATCTGTTCTATCATCAGTATAATAGGGAGGCAATTGAGTTCTCATTAATAAATATGATTTTCTTTGTGCACAGTACTATAGTCCTTACTGTTAGGGGTCTGGTAACTAGACTAAAAAGGTTGAGAAATACTGCTCTAGCTCAGTCAAAAGTTAAGAGCTTAATGCTGGAATCACCTGGGTTGGGATAAACAGATGGTCAGACTAGAAATCTATGAATCATTGTACATTTTGAATCTAGGCTGGACAATCAATCACATAGGGAATGATCCTCGGAAACAGTCGTAGAGGAATTGATCAAAGTGACCGACTCTTTGTTTCTCTAATTTTTAGAGGTACATAGTAAGTAGGGCCATAATTAACTTGCATCTAGGAAAAAAGCATCAGTGTTCTCTCTCAACTGTGGGGCAGCACAACTTCACAGGTGATTAATCAGCCCTGTCAGTCAGCTCCCTGCACAGAGCCCTGGGCCTGTGACTGGGCCTGATTAATCACCTGTGTAGCTGGGGTGCCATGCAGCTTAGAGAGAACACTGATCACAAACTGTGAAATCTGTTCTTCTCCTGGGAAATCTGGCCTATATTATGCAGATTTCATGGGGGAGATCAGCATTTATCAATCTATGGGCTTGACCCCAAAGGGAATTGCAAGGGGTTTGTAAGGTTATTTTAGAGGGGTCACAATATTACCACTTTTAGTTCCACATTGCCTTTAGAGCAGGGCAGTCAGAAAGTAGCACTGTTGGCCGGATGCCGAACTCTTAAGGCAGCATCCTACCAGCAGCAGCACAGAAAGGTGACAATACTACACCATGACACCCTTACTCCTGTAATGACACCCTCTGAGCTGGGTGGCCAGAGAGTGGTGTCTGCTGACTGAGGCCCCAGGTCTGCAGGCAGTGTGCAGAAGGGTGGCAAAACCACACCATGATATCCTTATTTTTGCACTGTTGTTGGCAGAGGTGCTGCCTTCAGAACGGGGCTCCCGGTCAGCAGTTGCCACTCTCCACTTCCCTGCTCTGAAGGCAGTGCCACCCGGAGCAGCAGTGCATAAGGATAACAGTCTCCCACCCAACCCCACACACACACCCCACAACATTGTGATCCTCTCAACTCCTTTTTGAGTCAGGGCCCGTGCAATTACAATGACATTTCAGATTTAAATAGCAGAAATCACGAAATTAATTATTTTTAAAATCCTATGAACATTAAATTAATCCAAATGGTCTGTAAATTTGGTAGTGGCCTGCCTATGCTGTCATAGCCAGCCAAATAGCAGCCCCTGCTATTGAAAACATGAAACAAAAGCACCCTAACAGGCTCAGAAACCAGAAAGCAAATAAAAACACTCACCATTTAAAAATGTTTTAACTTTATGATTTTTAAGCCAGCCTTGTGGTATTTGAATGCTTGGGCTTAGCAATACTGCCAGTATCTTCCCCTTTACTACTGACATGCTATTGTCACTAAATCACTGTCAAGCTTCAAGGCAGCCAATAGGAGGCATTGTTCAGAATAAGGTACTTGCTCAACTGTTTAAGGTTTATTGAAAATACTTTAAAAAAAAAAAGGTGAAGCAAAGACACCTAATAGAAAATGAGGAATCACCAACAACATTTTGACATTATATTGATGGGCCTGAGGATCAGTTCTGTAAAATGGCCCATTTCCAGGAATAGATCATAAAGCAGGAAAGGACAGCAGGGCAGAGACTAAAAGGCAACTCTGGGACTCTCCTGCAGCTCACATGCAAGCTCCAAAGATCCAATAACTT